ATGATGTTCAATTTGTAGCAATGAAATTGGGGGTCACCACAACATGAGGAACTGTATTCAAGGGTCTCGGCATTAGGAAGGTTGAGAACCACTGCTTAAGCTTAAGGACGAGGACGGGGGTAGGGGAAGCAGGTGTCATGTCTGGTTATAAGTGTGGCTTCGTGGCAGACGAGCGGGCTTGCTGCCTCGGCTCAGAATGGAGGCCAGCAGGGTGTCTTTAGTGAACAGTTAGGGCCGGCCATTGGCCATCGTTCTCCGCTCTGCACCTCCCATGGAGACACCCGCTCTAATCATCCCACATTCACCTTCCAGAAGCGCGAGAGGTGTTACCTTCCAGAGCAAGGCACCGCGGTGGGCTGGACGACCAGATAAGGTTGTGTAAGCACTCGAGATATTCCGACCCCTCGAGCTTGAACCCCGGGAAGCAGCGGTAGGCAATGACCGTGCCCACCGGGAAGGAGGTCTGGAACTCGGAGATGTTCACGTAGCCGTTGGAAGAGGCCAGTGGCCTCAGGCAGCCTGGGGAGAGGGAGAGCGAAAGGCGGAAGTCTTAGTCGGTTGTCTCTGTCCACCCAAGGGATAAACCCCGCTCTCGGATTCCCCCACCCTAACCGTGGCCTCTGAGCCATGAACACCATGGTCCTAAAAGTTCAGATTCCTGCTCAGTTGGTGTGGCTCAGTGGTTGAGCGTCGACCTAGGAACCAGGAGGTCACGGCTCGATTCCGGTCAAGGGCACATGCCCAGGTTGCAGGCTCGATCCCCAGTACAGGGTGTGCAGGAGGCAGCCGATCCATGATTCTTTCTCCTCATTGATGTGTCCATCTCTCTCTCCCTCTCCCTTCCTCTCTGAAATCAATAAGATATGTTTTTTTATGAAGTTCAGACTCCTTATCGACCTGCCTATTCTATTTGTGATGTGCAAATTTGATTTTACAGTTGCAAATGGCACTAGGGCAGTGATGGCGAACCTATGACACGCGTGTCAGAGGTGACACTCGAACTCATTTTTTTGGTTGATTTTTCTTTGTTCAATGGCATTTAAATATATAAAATAAATATCAAAAATATAAGTCTTTGTTTTACTATGGTTGCAAAGATCAAAAAATTTCTATATGTGACACGGCACCAGAGTTGAGTTAGGGTTTTTCAAAATGCTGACACGCCGAGCTCAAAAGGTTCGCCATCACTGGTCTAGAGAATGGGAGGAGTGGGGAGCAGTGAGGAGGGGGGAAACTTACTAAACACCCAGGGTTGGTGTTCAGCCTGGGCACCCCCATCTCTTTTTTTAAAAAATATATTTTTATTGATTTCAGAGAGGAAGGGAGAGGAAGAGAGATAGAAACATCAAAGATGAGAGTCATTAGTGGGCTGCCTCCTGCACGCCCCCTACTGGGGATCGAGAGATGAGAGTCATTAATGGGCTGCCTCCTGCGCGCCCCCTACTGGGGATCGAGCCTGCAACCCCGGCATGTGCCCTTGACCAGAATCAAATCCGGGACCCTTCAGTCCTCAGGCCGACACTCTAACCGCTGAGCCAAACTGGCTAGGGCTCGATCGCTTTGAAAGCTCCCCAAGTAGCCCTGGCTGGTTTGGCTCAGTGGATAGAGCGTCGGCCTGGGGACTGAAAGGTCCCAGGTTCGATTCCGGTCAGGGGCATGTACCTTGGTTGCAGGCACATCCCCAGTAGGGAGTGTGCAGGAGGCAGCTGATTGATGCTTCTCTCTCATCGATGTTTCCAACTCTCTATCCCTCTCCCTTCCTCTCTGTAAAAAATCAATGAAACATATTTTTAAAAAAGAAAAGAAAAGAAAGCTCCCCAAGTAATCCTAGCGTGCCGTGCCGTCAGGGCTGACAACCACCGAGTGCCACGGAGGAAAAGGACACGTTGCTGTTTCAACGACAGCGGTGGGGTGCCGAGGAGGTTGGGACGCGAACTCTGTTCCGCCCTCGCAGAACACGGCACCGATGCCTGCGTGATGAGATGAAACTTGTGAAAAGCCCGTTGTGCTGGGTGTGAAGTAGGCCAGGCACCCCGTGGGGCGGTGGTTTGCAAACTTGAGAAAGACCCAGACGGGGGGTCTGCGTGGGCACGAGGATTCGCATCCCTGAGGCGGGGACCAGCCCCAAGAACCCCGCAGCGGTGAGACTGCACCCCGGGAACCTGCGTGCTCCCCACATGGACTGAGCCCCGATGCCACGCTCCTACTTCTCTAAAAACACCCGCTGCCTTTTTTGTCTCGAAGCCCGAGCAGCCCCGGGGACGTCCCCGGCCCGGATTCCGTTCTGCGTGGCATCGCGGTGACTGTGGGACGTCTCATGGCCTCGGCGGCGGCGTCACTGGAGGGTTTAACGACCCCGCAGAGCGGCCTCGCTTCCCGGCGAGAACTAATTGTGCGTGAAGCAAATACTGTGTCACGCAAACACCTCGTTCCTTCCAATCACCAGGGACAGATCCCACCAGCTGCCGGAGCCCTTCTCCGAGGGACTGTTAGATGTTTTACACGGAGCATCCAAGAGCCTGCTGCTCGGCAAGTGGCTCCGGTACTCGCCCCAGCACAGGGGGTCTGGGTATCGGGGCAGAACTTCAGGAGGAACTCCCTCTGGGGGGGCCCTGCTCTGCTCCGTGATGGCACCGACCCAGCAGACGCCCCACCACCACCAGCCTGCGCTCAGGACGGACCGGATCTGAGCTGCGTGGGCTCAGCCCTGCCTTCCGGCCGTCCCCTGGGCCTTACAGGACTATTTTTTGTTTGTTTGTTTGTTTGTTTGTTTTGTTTTCCCTTCCGGCCGTCCCCTGGGCCTTACACGATTATTGTTTTTTGTTTGTTTGTTTGTTTGCTTTGTTTTCTGAGCTGACAAGGTTCACAAAAGTGAAATGTGTGAGGGGAGGTGGGGAGGCCGGGGGGGTAAAGGAATCAGTAAGTGAGAATAAGATAAGCAAATTCATCCTCGAACAAGTAAACCTATTGGGCATAGCTGGCACCGAGATGGTACCCATGCCTCCTTTGGGGGAGTGGACAGTGGACCTTGAACAACAGCCTCTGGGCATAGCTGGCACCCAAGATGGTACCCACGCCTCCTTTGGGGGAGTGGACAGTGGACCTTGAACAACCTGGGGTGGGGGGTGCTGGACCGAACGCAGCTGAAAATCCATGTAAATCTTGACCCCTGAAGAAGTTCAGTCGGCCCTCGGTATACGGGGGAGATTGGTGCCAGGACCCCCACTGATACCCAAATCCGAGGATACCCCAATCCGTGGATGTTCAAGGCCCCTCTACAAAAAAAGACCTAGACCCGCTGGACCGAACGCAGCTGAAAATCCACGTAAAGCTTGACCCCTGAAGAAGTTCAGTTGGCCCTTTTACAGGGGAGATTGGTGCCAGGACCCCCGTGGATACCCAGATCCGAGGATACCCCAATCCGCGGATGTTCAAGGCCCCTCTACAAAAAAAGACCTAGACCAGGGGTGGGCACCCCCTGGCACGCGTGCCAAACATGGCACGCCAGTAACTTTTGCTGGCACGCGAAACCCTCTCTTATAATCTCCCATTTACAATGGTGAATCTTTGTTCTCAGTGATGAATTTTGTTAAGTCTCGTCATAGGAGTAGCCTGACGGATGAAAGTAGTAGCTCGTGCATATCTCTGAAGGTCACGAAATACAAACCTGATGTAAAATCTCTGTCATCAGTGATGCAGCAGCAAAAGTCCCACTGATAATATCAAACGGAGTCATAAAGTTTTCTGTCGGACCATCAGTGTACATGAATACATTAAAAAATAAATTTATTGTTCATCATCATATACTGTGTTTTTGTCGCTCGAATGAATTTTATTATTTCTTCAAGGTTCTTCACATACGTACACCTTAAGAGATATCAAGTAGGCGTAACATGTTCTCAAAAAATTAGGGTTGGCACGCAGAAGAATTCTGAGTCAGAGATTTTGCTGGTTTGGGCACGCACTCACAAAAAGGTTGCCCACCCCTGACCTAGACCAATGTGCACTATAGTGCTAAGCTCCCCGCTTGGTTAACTGCCTTCCCCTAAGTAAGAACTCCCCTGACTCACCGTGAGCAGGAGGCGTGGGGACACCGCTCTCCGAAACACAAGTTTCCCACGGAAAACAGTGGCCTTGGAGCAGCCCCTCCCCTCGCCCCAGAAGGAGATGGAAGGGGTTCTGACTCGTGCAGTTGATCGGAGGAGATGTGCCCTCTTGGTTGGGAACAGCCTGTCTCAATGTAACAGGGAGAAACGGGCTTCCACTCAATGATTCAAGAGGGTTTCTGTTTGCACGTCTAGAGACTAGAGAGAAGGCTCCTCGGGCGTTAGCTCCTGGATCTACAGGTGCAGATAAAAGTGACAGAGCAAATGGCACTCTCAGGGCTGGTTATACCCCCGCCCTGGGGGCTCGAGGGGTGGCAGGCTGTCTAAGGCAGCCCGAGTCCTTATCGCTCGTGCCATGCCTGGGCGGGTGGGCAGCCTAAGGAAGCCGGGGCATCAGTGGGGCCAGGGGGTGGAGGGGAGGGCGGGCACAGAGCAGGGGCACCGCCTCTGTGGGGACAGGGCTTTGAGGAGGAAGGAGGGGGGCTGTGGGTCACACTGATGTTTGAGGAACCAGGCCTCCCAAGAGCAGCCGGCCAGCTCTTTTGTTGTCCAAGAACTCCACAAGCCATGTTTTGGCTGAGGTTTGAGTAAGGGGCGGTGGAGGGGAGGGACAGAGTGGCCAAGCAGAGCAGGGGACAGACAGCCTTTTGTGGGCAAAAAGGGCTCCTAAAGAAGCGTATTGTAGCCCCGCCGGCATGGCTCAGGGGTTGAGCATCAACCTATGAACCAGGAGGTCACGGTTCGATTCCTGGTCAGGGCACATGCCTGGGTTGCGGGCTCGATCCCCAGTGGGGGGCGTGCAGGAGGCAGCCGATCAAGGGTTCTCCCTCACCATTGATATTTCTATTTCTCTCTCCCTCTCCCTTTCTCTTTGATATCAATAAAAAAATATATATATATATTTTTTAAAAAGAAGTGTATTATATTTAAGTGACATAAAAGGAAATAGAAAGAGCAGAACAAATAGAAAATATCAAAGCAAGAAGTGGCCAGAGTCCAAGGTCACTTTCTCGCCATGACTCCGAGGGGCCCACCTGGGAGCAAGCTGCTGGCTTTGTGGATTTGTCTCTGAAAGTGTAAATGAACCACGTGTCTCCTTGGAAAATGTGACATATAACACGCTAACACCACGGAGCGCGAGGGGGGGCTGCCTCTGTCGCTATCCGAAGCCTTTGTTTCTTACGGGGCCGTGACTCTTAGGCCGCGACTCATAAGAAAATGATCGATCTCCTACCACGGGGCGCGCGAAGGAATGTCAGGGCCTGCCGGCTACGGTTCCCAAGCACCAAGTTAACATCCGTCTCGACTGGAACGAGCTAGTGACTTTGGAGCGAGTAAGCTTGCCCTCCCTCGACCTCGAACTCTGAATTATGCATTGGGCTTCTCGGTCCTTCGGTCCGAGTCACGTGTCGAAAAACAAAAATCAGAATTAATGCGACCCCGAGGGCTGAGTTGCAGAAACAGGGCCCTGCATGTCAGTCCGGGCTAATTTAAACACACACACACACACACACACACACACACACACACACACGGGAGAGGATAAATATTCACCGTGCGGTCTGGACGGAATTAGAATTTGATTATTTTTCTGTTCCTCATGCATTATAAAAAGGGATAGCATTATTAAGAGAAAGTAGCTGCTGTAAGATTGGCTTGAAATATATTCTCACCACCACTGAAATAAGTACAAATGTTCTGTTACTTCCATTAAGTACACAGCAGTTCATCACCGTGTCCACAGCCCAGTTCTGAGCCTCGTAACTCTTACCCTACTTGCGTTTTCCCAGTAGGGGAGACATCCAACATGCTAACGAACTGCCTAGTTCCCATTTAAACTTTAAATCTGGTGTACGGCCCAGCCGGTGTGGCCCAGTGGTTGAGCGTCGACCTCTGAACCAGGAGGTCACGGTTCCATTCCAGGTCAAGGGCACATGCC